ACAAGTGGAGCAGCCACTATGGACCAGCAGGGAAGCCACACATGGAAGATAACAGAACCAACCCCCCTGCTAGGGATAGCTCCTGTGAGACTGTTAGAGAGACAGGTAAACTTCTCTTTTATTTTAGTCACTGATTGGTGAGGGGCTGGGGGAGGAGGGTGTCCTCCATTGAAGAACCCAACCTATATTTCAGCTAATGCATATATTAATCAAGTTTAACTTAAACTTAGTTTAAATAAACTATAATTACATAATGTTAATAATGATGATAGCAATGATTATTTATGTAATTGACTTATCATTGCCAGGCACTGTTCTAATTGCTTTGCACATTTTAATAGATATGATCCTCACTATAGACCTATGAAGTAGATACTGTTATTAATTTGATAAATTAGGGAACTGACGCACAGGGACAAAATAACTTGCCCAAGGCCACACAGCTCATAAGCAGTAGAGTGTGGACTGGAAGACATGAAGTCTGACTATGGAGTCCACTACATCCTACTCCCTTTCATGGAGATTTCAGAGATAAAATATTATGCCATCACTTAGAAACAAGTTAAAGAACAATTAATAACATGGATAAATAACATACATGCTAAGTGAAAAAAGCAAGATACAAAACTCATACAGTAGCACCAAGTCACCCACCATGATCCCAATTCCGTTTCAGGAAAGTATACAAAATGTGTGCATTAAAAAAGACAGGGAGGAAAAAATTATAAAATTTCAAAATTGAGTATCTCTAAGTGATAAAATTACAGATCACTTAATTTTCATTATAGTTTCTAATATTTCTAAACTTGTATTTCTGTTACAAGAATGAGAAAAATACATTCTAATTTATCAAAATGAAGAAAATATCCCCAAACTTCACACTTCTTCCTTTTAGATAATAATAAAGGATCTTTATTGCTTCAATAAAAATAAACATTTTGCTTTCATTTGTATATATTTTGTGTCGCACTCCCCTCAATAAAAAACAAAATGCAGCTTTTTTTGTATTCAAAAATATCAATAAAAGATCAAGACCGCTGCAAAAAGAACATAACTTTTTGTTTAGATGAATGAAAATGATCTGCCGTGTAACATAGGGCACTGACGTATAAACTCCAAGGTCCCATAGCCCTCTGATCTCTGTATAGTAAGAAAAAGTATCTGTAATGTAGCACAAAATGTTAAGGCATACAACATAAGACATATAACATATAACAAAATGCATAATACATATAACCCTTTTTAAACACCAAGACTAACTCTAATAAAAATCATGAAAGTATTATAGATCATCTGAGCCCTGCTTTTTAAAGTCAAAAATTTTAAAGCCTCCAAATCATATTTCTGCTTAACAACGCATAGCTGCTATAAGCCGCTTAATAAAAAGGCCAATAGGGAGGGTAGGGTCCTGGCAGATTTAAGTCTTTTTCTAGAGCTGACCACATTTTCAAGTTAATAAATTCTGTAGTAAAGCAGATTATCTCAAAGAATACCTTCTTTGTCAATCCTTGCATAGCAATGAAATAAAAGAAAGCCTCAGAAAAGTTCAGTCATCACTTTTTAAACCTCGAATGCATTAATGAAATTAAGAAAACATATCTGTCAGAGGAATATCACCTATGATTTTTATATATTTCATATTTACATTTTAAACATAGATACAAACTTTTCCTCATTTCTTATTTTTTACATGAAAGTTTTATGTACTATTACATATAATTTTTCAAAGCATATCTCCACCAACGACCACCACTAATTTCACACACAGAAAAAAAACACATGTAAATTTTCCTGTTTTACCAGGCCTTATCTAGAATGTTTCCTCTGAGATGTGCCACATATTAAGCATTTAACTATCAACTAGAAAGGCATCACTACATCGATTTATTAGTCTAAATTTACAAGAGAAAGCTGAGTTTAGCATAAAACTGAGAAGTGATTGCCAAGTTTTATAGAAAAAGCTTGATAGATTAAAAAAAAATAGAACTTTAAGGCTATGTGAATTCAGAGTCCCTCGTGTGACTTATCTGGGCACTAAGCACAGCTTATTTTATTTAGTGTAACTGCAATTTAATTCAGAATATAGTAGGAAACCAACTGCAAAGAAAGGAGTCCCCCAGAAGACTGGTGAGGAGGTACTTTAACCCTTAAGATGTGGTTAAAAAAAAAAAGTGGTATGTTACACTGAAGGATTTGAGAAATTCTTAGACACTAACTGCCTTTTCAAAGATGCTAACTTTAAAACTTATCTGTCACATCATTGGAATCTTTTTTTTTTTTAACTAAGTTTGCATGGAGGTGAAGTCTATAAATAAGAAAGAAAACCATCCAAATTTTTCCAACTAGGTTCTAAATCATATACTTACAATTCAGCTTTTAAAATTAAATATGATTAACAATTATGCCTGCTGAGTACCTATGATGAAAATACATTTTCTTCTGCTGAAAAAGCCACTAATAAAATCCTTAAAATACCACCTTCAGTGAATTTTTCCACCATGTCTAATGTTACCTGGTAACCCTGACACGCTAGTTAAAATTCAACAGAGAAATAATGGGTTTATGGGTTTACGGCTGTCGTTTATAGTTGTGGTTATCTAGTATGATACCACAAAGTAAAGATGTAGAAAACAGTTAAGGAAAACTACCTAGGCTTAGAATTAAACAATGCCTGACTGCAAGTTTCCTTTAATCCAAAAAGGCTGTTCCTCTGTTTAAAGTAAACCAATTATTACGTATATATGTGTACATAGGCAAACATTTATATGCACTCAAACATACATATGTATGAATGTATATGTATGCTTGTATGAGTGTTTTATATAAATGCATTATGTGTACACATTTTCATATGTAAATATCGTACATTAAAAAGTTTTCAACCGAAGAAGCTAAATTTGGAAGGAAACAATCCTTTCTAAATATTTCATATTTTTAGGGAATATCATGACTCACTTTAACATATTTGAGTATACAGGACCCAAATTCATTTACCCAAAGTTATCTTACCACTGTTAATTATAATCATGAAGAAAATTAAACTATGTAACAAAAATATTCTAGTGGAATATATTATAAAAATCAGTATCTCCACCAATACCTTTAAGTTCAACTGTAGCTCATTTTCAGGATCTTTTTTGGCCAACTTTATATGCTATGGAACAGGTATACACTGTCCACTGATTGCTTGTTTTGTGCTAATTATCACAATACATTCAATTTGGCCGCAGCCAGGTCCCACAGGCCAGTGACTAGCTATTAGAAGGCAGGTAAGAAAAAAAATCCAAATTTCAAGACAACATCCTGAATATTCACCCACAGATGCTAAAGTCACTCCAGACTTTACCTTTAGAACTGTCCAGTGAGTTCATATGTACATATTTTCAATAATCTGCAAGTGGATTCAGAATGGGATTTTACCATTAAGGCTTTCTTAGCAAGTTTTTGGGCAAATTAGGTTTTATAGAGAAAAGTCATCTACCGCATCATTTTATGTTTGATTTGGCAAAAGTCTAAAAATCCAAAATGGGTCAAAATTAAGCCTTTTATTTTCACAAAGCTGCTACCACAAACCGAATGGGCAACGGTGATGGCCACTGTAATTTCATATGCACAAATTGACAAATCCTCTGTTCAAAGGACTTTGAGTGAACCTGAGAGAAATAGCGATAAAAAGCTATCAACGGAGTATTATTTGTAACTAAAAAAGTATCACCATTCTAATTCAAAGCAAGTAACCAAATTGAGGACGCTCCTAATAAACTCCCTTGCTTCTTCAAATTGTAAACTCAAAAGCAAAAGCACTCTGAAATTAAAATGTTTTATTGCCTTCTCTTTTTATTTAGAAATCACTATATATGCCAATGTTATAAATATCTTAGATGACCATTTTCAGGTTTCTGTAAGATTTGCTAAGGATAATTATTTTCATCAATATGCTTGTCTAATTGTTAACTTTCTATAACTAAGGATTTTACAAAATGGGAAATGTCAACAAATGGCATATGAAACGTTATTATATCTAATTCGGGCACCTTATACCACACATCCTTCTAGCCAAAGTGCCAAGTGGATTATCATCTCTATAAATGAAACACAGCTATAACAAAACAAAATCACTGGGAGCAAATGTGGTGCTTTCAATTGTGTATTTTTTAATAACAAAATTCTCTTCATTGTTTTTCATTTTCTTGTTACTAATCTGCATTCTGAACACAAGATGGATTTACAGAGAAATAGAAACTAAAGAATAAAATACTCTATATTTTATATACTTTGTATATATTTTACATACAAAGTATAATATAAAATACTGTCTGTAAAGTACAAAAGAGGTATCTGAGTGGCTATGCATTACTGAGGTTTTAAACTACACCACCCCTCTGAGAATAAACTACTTAATAACTTATATTAATATTTATAGGTATATTAACAGGAAAAAGAAAAAACTTGATGAATTTATTGATATTAGTGTAGAGCCATGGTGTCCTCAGAGTACTGCATTTAGGATTACGTAAGTCTATCTCAGGTGACAGACACTGAAATGAAATATAGAATACCCAAAAGAAAGATTCCATAGCAACAGACCATCAGAAAGTATTTTTGCCCTTCCTGCAGCACATTCAGCAAATTCAAAGAATTTAAGATTTAATCAAAATCATTTTTCAAAAAATCAGCATTTCCCCACAGAGTACAAGTGCCAACGAGTAACAGGACTGCCCGAATCATTTTAAGAGAACACTAAAGCATGAACATTAATACTTTTAACTATCTACCAATAATATGCTAAAAACAACAAAACAAAACAAAACAGTAAAAGTTGAGAGAAACCGAAAAGGGAAAGCAAGTCAAATTTTCCTCACACATAGGACAAATCCTATAAAAAAGTGCTCTTATGCATAGTTCCAAGTGAAGCTGTCTCACAGAAATTGCAATCATTGTTACCCATCATCTGCTGTATTACAGTTTTGTATCACCAAGATTACATAAGGCCTGCATACCAAGTTCATCGTGCAAACTGCTGCCGCCTACAGCAGATGCATTGTCATGTGATGCTTCTAAGTGGACACTCCCATTTCTCACCAGCAAGGAGGCACTAGCACTGAGCACTGCAGCCTGGGAAGGGGGGCGGGACTGGACTTTGACCTGGGCTGTGGACTGCTGGCCTTGCTGACCATCTTGAAGGCTAGGAAAAAACATGGATTGGGGAGACATTACAGGGAAGAAAAGAAAAAAACAACAGCTAGAATGAAGTCAATATAGAAAATGGATTTCAAAATGTAACCTGATTTTTTCAATGTAACCTAAGAAAGCTAACAAACTTTGCAACATATACAGATTACACTGCTGTCTTAAATCTTCTGGTCCTTAGAAAACTGAGTCATTGTGATGAACACAGCAAACATTTAATGTATATGTAAACTAACCAATCTGTGACTTTTCCCCACCCCAAGCCAACAAAATTCTAGTGTAAGGAAAAAGAAAGCAGCAAAGAAAAACAAGCACATTAACTATATATGGGGGTTGTAGCTGGTCCCCAAGAGATAAATCCTCTTTGTCAGTTTAAATATGCACTTTTCTTTATAACCTTTATAATTCTAGAATTGTTCTTTCAAATATTCTGGCATCTCGAATTCACAATAAAACAAAGTTTCTATGCACCTGAAAACCAAAGAATCCTTATCAAATGCTACCAAGGTGACAATTTTCAATCAAAAGAAAATCACAAACTAGTGCAAGAGAAATGGAATAACAAACATCGACTCAACCGAGTGAAATACAAATGACTGCTGGGATGCTGCAAGTATGATTAATTTATAAAGTATTTTTTCTATGAAAAGCCTGCATATTTTTTAAATAAAGCCACACAGGCTCTGTATACATGTTATTACCTTCTCCAACCCATTTCATCATTTCATTAACAAGGGCCCATCATTTTAGAACATCTTAAAAATATTTTGGAAACCTGTAATTTCTCAAGGGATATTACAGTCTTTTTTAAATCTTACAGAATTCTGTTAATATATTATTAGTATTTTGTTATAGACTTGCCATTTATTAAAACTATCAAATCTAAATATCTAAACATCTATAATTAAGAAACTATTATATTCTTAACTCATTTTATATTTTAGATGTTTAAAATACTATGAATTTTAATGTGCTTAATACTCAAATTTAAATCAATGAAACTCATGAAAATATTTTGAGTATAATTATTATATGTCATTCTCTACATGATGTTCAAAGTAACTGCATTATTATTAAATTAGACCTTTGAGTAAACAACAACAACAAGACTGCTGCATAGGATGGCCTTATTCAGTTATTTTATCATTTTTTTGAGTACCAACTTCTTTCTAATGTTCTGAATTCAATGCAATGATTTCTCTGATGCCTATAAAATAAACTCATCTTTATGGACAGTGAAGAAAGCTGCAATTTAAAGTAACCATGTAATAAAAGACTAAGTAGAAAACACTGCTTATGCTGCTGAAGCCTGTGGTTATGGCAACAGAATACACTTTGGAATCACACTGTCTGATAAAGTAACCACATGTGACTATCTACACTAAAATTTTAGTTCCACAGTTCCACCAAGCTCATTGCAAGTGCTCAAGAGCCACATCAAGTAGCTAGTGGCTGCCGTAGTGAAGAGCTACCGGAGTGGGCAAAAGCTAGTAGTTAGTGTCCACCACACTGGGCAGTGTTAATTACATAGATCTTTCTACCACCACAGAAAGTCCTACTAACCATTACTACCTGGAACATTCATAGTTCAGGCTTCTTTTAGAGCCAACAAAAAGTATACACTCTAAATAGAGCAGAGGAATGTGTGGAACACATGAAAAAACCAAGTCCACACAATGTTGACTTGTTGATGCTTACTTGCATTATTTTTTTAAGCTGTAACTATAAAGGTATTCATTTAATAACTCCTTTGGAGTAGATGTTTGTACAATTGACATAAATCGAGAGATGATCTTGGGAATTAATGGAATCAAATATCGTTGTATTTTCCATACATATATAATAAGTCTGTTACTCTTCCTCAAAATCCAAAGTTATTTACAAAGCTTACCAAAATGACCAAATCTTACAAGGGAGAAAATTCTGACAAAAAAGGTGTTTTAAGTAGTTCAAGTACTATGTCCCTTCCGATTCTGAATTGGAAGACAGCAGAATTTTATACAATATGTACTCAACAAATATTTCTGTCCTTTTTTGTTTTTACTTAAAGTCAAAAACAAAGGTGCTATATGGCAGTTAGGTGTATTTTAATGTGAACACATTTGAGAATACAATAATCCTCAACATACCCATATATACAAAAAGGTTTCCAAAGTATTAGGCAATGCATGAAAATCGATTCCAGAATAAAGAAACAAAAGAAACTAGTGAAAATCTATGTGGCTGTCAAGGTTTTGAACATCAAAAGCTAATCATAAATGTTTATGTCCCTTGAATTCCTGTTTTGAAAATCCTTCAACAACCAAAAAACCTCTCATTTTTACAGAAGTTGGTAGGAAAACTATTCCTGGATGTTTGTGCTTTACCTAACTAATAACCGACAGGAGCTAATATTTTTTAGAGTACCAATTCTCTATCAAAACTACCAGTTTGAGAAAAGGTAGCAACTATTTTACAACATAGTAAAAGGAAAGATAGAAATTTAGGTCTAACTATTGGCTATCAATAGCATCACTGACATGCAATCTTACCCATTAACATTTCCAATTTAAATGGCAGAAAAACAGGGGCCTCTGGGTGGCTTAGTGGGTTAACTCTTTATGTCAGCTCAGGTCACGGTTAGTGAGTTCAAGCCCCCACATCTGTCAACACAGAGCCTGCTTGGAATTCTCTCTCTTGCCCCTACCCCACTAGTGCTCTCTTGCCCCCTCTCTCAAAAATACAAAAATAAAGTTTAAAAAATAATAAGGAATAGCAGAAAAATATAGTTGGTCTTGGTCTTTCTTTCCTCTGTACCACTTATTTAGAATTTGGCACCTTCTGCCTTATATCGTTGGTTATTTTTATTTGTGTCTCCATGATGAAAAAGTAAACTCTAAGAGTATCATCACATTATTCTTATGAATCTGCAGATTCCAGAGAATACTCAAAGGAATGCCTTGAACACAGTACACAAACAACAAATATTTGGTGGATTTTCCTGAGTACCACAAAATGATCCCTATGAATTTCTAATCATGTATTCTGTTACTACTATGACCTTATTTGATTACAGATCTTTCAATCTTCTAACACTTTAAAAAAAAAAAAAAGATCTAAGAATAAGATAAAGCTTTTGTCCCCTCCCCAAATGCAACTAATTTTTCATTCCAGTCCATTAACCAGAGTTCTAAAAGATACCATATTTGGGTTGATAAAAATAGATAAATATGGAACTCTTAATACTAGTACTATAAAATTTTTAAATATTAATCTTTGCTTTTCTCTCTAGTAACTGAGAACTGGCAAGGGCCTATCGAAGCTACCTACGAGACTAACTTAATGAAAAGGACACTTAAAAATAATTCTGAAACAAGACATTCTAACAATTATTTTAAAAATCTGCATTTTCCCTTCAGGAAGAAATTTATGATTCACTCACAATCCTTGAAAACATACAATTTACCAAGTTGCTTTTGACTGTCAATTACTTGAACTATTTATTAAAGTTTAAAATAAGTTAGTACATTTTACTGGTACTTATATAGTAATTGTAATTAAAGTACTGTCACTCCTATTCCATTTCCTTTTGACAAACAAGTTTTTCAAGTTTTCCATGACCATGCAATCCTATATTTACTTAAAGATGAGAGTATTATTATGTAATTCAAACAGAATTAACACCAATATTTTCTACCTGAATATTTTTGCAATTTAAAAAAGATTTTATCTATTGGTGTTTTTAATTTCTCTAAGCTAAATTGTATCTTATTTCATCCATGATAAAGTCACCTATTTAAGATACATGTAAAGTTTATGCTGGAAATATCCTAGAATCTTAACAAAATCTGCACACTGACTACTAGAAGATTACCTGCCAAAAATTCTAAAGTGAGTGCTTTACAAGTAAGATTCACGCCATTATCCTCATTTGAACGGTGATGTATTTAAAACCCTACAGAATTCTACATGATTGGCTGGAGTTAGCACACAGTTCTTTAATATTCCACCAGGCAAAGAAAAAAGTAATTTGTCTGCGTTTGTTGGGTAAGTGGGATCCAGCAGGCTTATTTGTGGCAAAGAATGAAAGGGTTTGCAAAGACCAAAAAAAGAAGGTTAAAATAAAAAAAGGGATTAATAAACAGCACCATGGAGTAAGAAAGCAAACAGGTCTATGGCAAGTGTTATTAAAGGGGCAAAATGAAAAGGTTAGAAAAAACAAAACAAGTAAAATGAAATGCTGAGCTCTTTCTGCAGGTTGGGGCTAGACCCCAAATCCATCAGCAAAAAGAAGTTAATTCAGGGAGCAGAAGGGGAGGGTTCATAAAAGGCAAAGGTGCTCAGAAAAAGGTTTCTAGACCAAATGTTTTTTTAACTGGTGCCTTCCCATCTTCATATTTTCAATGTTGGTTTAACTAATCCATACTACTTCTTACAGAATTATGTATTACTGCAGGATTAATTAGGAACATGACCCACAAAAGGTGAAGCTCCTGATTGTAATGTAAAACCCAGAAAAAATAAGCAAGTCTTAAATACCAGGGAAATGTAAAGAGAAAGATTTTGTTACTCTCAAGAACAGGATTTTAACAAGGGAAGGGGGTCAGCTCTTCTGATCTACCATGTATTCAACAGGAGTTGTTTCACTAAGTGTTCTTTTTGAATTCCGGATTAAAATGTAGGAAAATAATTTGGTAATGGTGATTTTTAACACAGAGATTAATGAGAGTATATGGTATTTTATGTGCACTGCCTAAGCAAGCACATGTAAAGCATTTTTGTCCATATTTGTATTAAAGCATAAGCATAAATGTTTTGATGTGTAAGACATACTTGAGAATAAAACACTAAAAGTTTAATGGAAAACTATTCCCAATATTATAAATAGATGTTTTCTTAATTAGGAATATTGGGAAATGCAAAAAATATTTTTCTTCAGCACTAGTAAAAGTGGAGAAATTCAACACAGATATATACAAATATATACATATATATCCAATTGACCGTACTTTGCCATAGAGTATTTTCGTCCCATGTCATTTACCAGGTTCTACTGATTATGAAATAAAAGATACAAATTTTTAAGCAATACAAAATATATATTTTAGTGAAATAAAATAAACTGGCTTATCAAGCTGAGGTCAGTTATCTGTAATCCTCAACAAGCTCACCACTCAGCCCATAATTGTTCCTATTAAACTGATCAAGATGTTGGGGAAAAGATGCTGAAATAATATTAATAGGGAGTAGGAAAAAAAAAGAAAAGCTGACTTAAGGCCTCTATTTACATTTATAGAGATGCCCTAAAGTAATTTTGCTATTTAAAATGGACTAACCCAATCTGATCGTTTTGTCTAAACAGTGCAACGCAAGGCATGCAGAATGCAGCAGGCTCGTGGTCACATGCAGAGAAAGCCCAAAGAGCTTAAAACTATAGGAGAAATTGGAGGGAAAAGAAAAAGCAATTTGAATGCTTTCCTGGCACTGACAGAACAGGTTAGAAGGTCTGTTACATGCATGCTAAGCTTGGTGGAATTTTAAAATACCATACCTGAGGGGTGATCCGATGAGCAATGTAGGAGGGGTAGGGTTACTCCCTGCATTGTGCCGGCGCCGTACTGCCTGGCGCCTAAATGTGCTGCGTTCACGGCGAAATGACACTGCCTCCTCGCTGGCCTGTGCTGCTGTATCAAGATAGACTTAGGTCAAATAGGAGCCTAGGTCAGAGATGTAAATAGCAGCTGAGCCTGCCTCTCCCGTCTTCCCACCCTCAAATGTAAAGGGAAGCTATCTGCTTGAGCCCAAGGGCTTTCATACATACACTGTTAATATGGCGCATCAAAGAATACACAAGACATACACATTGTTTATTTAAAGATAATTGGTTCTTTAAAAATAATGTTTTTGATATATCTGGCCTCACCATCTTCTCTTCAAACTCAATTTCCTATTTTAATATCTCCATTGGTTTAAACCTTCATCTAGGGGCTCCTGGGTGGCTCAGATGGTTAAGCTCGAACTTGATTTTGGCCATGCTCTCACGGTTGGTAAGCTTGAGCCCCCCATGTCCGGCTCCAAGCTGTCAGTGCAGAGCCTGCTTGAGATTCTCTCTCCCCCCAAAATAAATGAATAAAAAAACTTTGAAAAAATAAAAAAAGAACTTTGAAAAAAAAATACAAATAAATTACACACTCTTGAATTAAGTCAACTTCACAAGTGCAATATTTGTTAGTTCCAACTAACAGGAATGGGGCATTATTTTCCTACTGTCAAGAGGACAGTAGAAGCAAACAATAATACTGCATTTTTTAAATATTTATTTTGAGGCAAAGAGAAAGAAAACACGAGTGGGAGAGGGGCAGACAGAGGGAGAGAGAAAGAAAATCCCAAGCAGGCTCCACACTGTCAGTGCAGAGCCCAGCACGGGGCTCAATCCCGTGACCGAGAGTCCATGGCTTGAGCCGAAAACAAGAGTCAGACGCTTAGCTGACTGATAATACTTCATTTTTGATGCCAGAGGTAAGGAAGCTATTCATCCCACGCTGCACTGTGGCATAACTTTGGCAGCTTTTTAAATGTTTAATTCAAGACAGCATGGACATATCTTAACTGTGAAGTAGTAAGCTGCCATGAAACTTTATTCAACTCTACGCCAGCAGCACAGGTCCCCTCAACATTAGGAAGCAAGTATCAGCAAGACAGCAAGTACAGATATTCATAGTTTAATCCAAAAGCAATAAAGTACAAACTAAAACCAAATATGCAACAATGACAAATACACAACCATGGCTTAATAGAGTCACATAAAATTTTATAAAACCATTCTAATTGACTGATTTCAGTTTCTAGAACAAAATGCAAAATGATGCTTTATCTATGTGAATTTAAAACAATGGTTTCCTAGTGATCTAAATATTTTAGGGATAATTTTGACTTTGACAAAGGGTATCTGCATACTAAATATAAATAAACACAAAATGTAGTACAGAAACATTCTTTCAAAACACTTTTTTTCTATTAAGTATTATGAAAAAGATTACAAATCCAAGAATGTTGCATTCAGATTTCAGTTCTATTGCAAGTTTTCTTGACATTTTAAAAACGTTACTAATTCTCAAATAATTCTTCTGCTTAGCAACAGCCATTTCCATCAATTTGGATGTTGATTTTGATAAAGTATTCTTTTTAATGTTTACATTCTGTACCCCTTCCTCAGACTGCACTGGTGGGTATTAGATTAGGAATATATGCACTACCTTCAAAAGGATAACTGTCTCTATGTAGCCACTTTCTTCTACTGCAGGAATGACAAACACAACTATTTCACCCATCTGGCAAGCTTCCGCCAGTAAAAAGTAGAAGTCACAAATGACAGAACGCCTACTTATTTTTCAGCTCACATACTACAGTGATATTCTAAGTTAGGCAACTAAATAAGAAGTTAGGTTTTGCGGCTTTGGCTCCAAATCAGACTGGACTCCTAATATTTCTTTTCTTTTTTTCCCCTCCAGTTTCACTGAGATATAATGAAAAATCCTTTAAATGTGAAAAAGCTGTTACTTGTGATATAAAAGCTCATGTACACAAAAATTACATGTGACCTGTGAGAACAAATGATCATTAAACCTGGTCATCGAGAACGTGCTGTCCCCAACACGGTAGCCACTAGCCATATGTGGCTACTTAAAAGTAAATAAAATTAAAAATTGAGTTTATCAGATCCATAAACCACATTGCAAGTGCTCAAGAACTACATGTGCCTAGTGGCTACCAATATTGAGAACATTTCCATCGTCACAGAAAGTTGTACTGGACAGTGCTGATCTAGAAATTCAAGGACACCATCTTTCTGTCACCACCATCTACAAAGCCTACTGTATGCTCTGCCTATTCCTGACAACTATGATTTCAGTAATAGGAAACTGCAACCAGCACTGTCACAAAGGAGAAACCGTACTGGCAGGCAGTCACTAGATAAAGGATAAAACGAGCCACTTGCAGGAAGAAATGAAAACTTATATGAGTGACTGTTAATGGCTCTCAGACATCAGCAATGTTAACTGAGGTTATGGAATTTAAAACCACTTCTAAAACTCAACTCAAGACACTTTGTGAACTTATATTGAAGATTTCCATTTTACTGTAACAAACTACTACTCAATTTACAGGTCAATTCACTTAAGAAACTTTCAAACATTCTCTCTAGTTTTAGATAACCAGAATAAGAGTAAAATTTACCCAGATATAATTTAAGGAGAATAATTCAATCCATAAAATGTACTAAAATTACTCTGAAGGATTTGGATAAAAGCAAAATGTAATCATTGAAGACTGAGAATAAATAGAAAGGAGGGAAATAGGAAACATTTTCTTTATTATCTTCCTTCTACTGAAGACTTAATGGTGTTAATTTTAAGTAAAAGCTAGTTATTGCATAATAGTAAGAAGAAAACACAACTATTAGTGTCCATTTATAGTCACAATGTCCTTTGGCTTCTTCAGAAAACTTTTTTTTTTTTTTGCTATTATTGCACTATTCATATTTTGTCCTCTGCAAAAGAACTACATAATACTACTCTCTTAATAAAATAGTTTTAGAAACACCCTAAGATGAAAGTTTAGACATCCTCTGAACAATGTAGTAAGTGGAGTTATGATTACTGCCTACAGTGTCCTTGTAATATTCAGGGTGTAAATACCTAATGCTAAAAGAATTTTCAATGTTTACTATAACAATTACTTTAACAATAGCTAGGATCACACATTCAACTGAAAACACTATGCCATAATTTATGGTCACAACAAATAAAACTAAACCATGCCCCCTGAAAAACGTACTACTAAATCAAAACATCTCTATTTGGAATAGGGTCCAAAGGGGGCCCAGTTCTACTAGTGCCAAGGAAAGCAAAGTGTCTTTAAAAAAGCTTAAAATAATTTGCCACAAGCATATTCAATCACATTAGTTATAGCTACACTTGCTGAAAATTCACTTCTACAACCCGAATGTAATAAATTTTTTAAATCTTTTAATTTTGTAAGAGAAAGAAACAAAGCGCACACACACACAAATCTTTGAACTAAGGAACCAAACAGGAGGGAGAAAACACTTTAAAACCTGGTTTGGGGGGCACATGGGTGGCTCAGTCAGTTGAGCATCCGACTTCAGCTTAGGTCATGACCTCACAATTCCATGAGTTCGAGCCCTGCATCAGGCTCACTGCTGTCAGCGCAGAGCCCCCTTGGGATCCTTTGTCCCCCCCTCTCTCTCCCCCTTCCCTGCTCATGCTCTCTCTCACAAAAATGAATAAATAAATAAACAAAACCTGGTTTTGAAGTTGACACTGCTTTTGAATTGTGACACTGCTTAAAACTCAGTATCTTCTGGCAAAAAAAAAAAAAAAAA